TTATTCAAATGAACTTATCTGTTGTAAGAGTAGTTCATTTGAAGCAAATTTCATTGATGACAATTTTAAGCTGACACAAGTCAAGTAATATGTTTTTCTTCCATAGGCTTACTGAGGACAAGTGTTTTTTGGATATCATGATAAAAATCAGTTTGTATTCTAAATTTCTAAACAACAGAAACATGAATCATTTAGTTTTTTGAAAGTGAGACCTTAAAAAACATACTTTATCTATGGTCTTATAGCCTAACCTACTTCGCATAGATCTGCACATATAGCCGGTTGCGGAAACAGCCCTTTTAGCCTCTACGTTGGTCGGTTTTAAGGTCATCAAATAGTCATAAACCATGGACAAATGATCGCCTGTCACTCCTTTGGTCTCACAAACGGTCATTTCCTTTTTCAAAATCTTTCGTAATCTTTTTGAGAACCAGTTTTTTTTTGTTATAAAAGTTTTTTCTCTCTCTCTTGTTTTAGTTCAATCTCAAGTTCTTGTTTATAAAGTAAAATTCACGGGCTCCGGATTAGCTGGCATATCTTCTACTTCCATTATGTCCTCTAGCACTGTTTCCACTATCACTTGTTTATTTATACGACTTTTTAAACAAATTTTTCAGCTCTTGTCGCATTGCATCCTTTTTCGGCATGGGGAAATAACCAAGATTGTTTAGTCCTTCGTCATACTTTTTTGGACTTTGTAAGTACACTAATGTACCTGTAATTTCAGAGAGGCGCCGTTCCGCGATTCTGTTGCGTAGTGCTTCCGATAGCTCGGCACTAAGGCTAGAGTCCTGGCTATTTAGTTTGTCTAAGATAAATTTCAAGGTTGTGTCGACCGTTATCAAAGTGGACTCTCTTCTGCAAAGAGCTTCTACAGCCAGTTTCACCGGTTGAAGAGTGGCGATCAACTCGTTGATTATTGACCACTCGCCAGCAGAGAATTTTAGTGCAGAATCAATTTCTATTAACGCTTTATCGATGCAAACTTTTAGGCTGTAGAAACGTTCCAGCAGACTGATCAAACTGCCACCTGGTGCGGCAGTCAAGAATCAAACTTAATTCCTTGTACAGTACATCATATTGAGAGAGCTATTAAGCGTGAAAACACTTTTACTGGCGAGAGCAGAAAGTCAACTAAAAATAAGACAAATAGAAGAGGTCTAAGAGGTGTCTAAGAGTCAATGGGTAGGCGAAGGCGATGCAGTCGAGAGAGAGAGGGCGACGCGATGTTGCAGTTTAATCGCACTTGTGGCATGTCGTACCTGCTAGCGCGATAGAATGGCAAGTTGCTGACTCACGGCTTTGAATAAAGTGGCTAATGAAGACATGAAGTAACTTGAATTTGACACATTTGCGGATCCGCGCTGCTGGATCTAGCAGAGTTTGCTGGATCCAGCATATATAAAAAAACGCTGGATCCAGCTGGATTGCTGGATGCTGGATCCAGCAATTGCAATGTCTAGTATTAATCTGCCAATAAACAAGCAGAATTGCTTATAAAGAGGAAGAAGCAGAAGATTTAAGTTACTAGTTGCCGGTTACTTTATCTTACCCTATTTTGCTCTGTTATCTCGGTTTAATAATTTGACGTTCTTATTATCTCATATTTGTTATTCAAAATCTTATTATTGTCATTTGATTTTATTGGTTATTCTATTGAGAAGAGCTTTAAGATAGTAAGTTTAGTTAAAACACAAATGATGTGATCTGATGAGATTGCACACATTATCGTTTAGATTAGAGGTACACTGAGGCGTGTATTCAAAAGCATTTAATACTACGTCATTATTTTAAAATATAATATAATCCTTCCCCACTATCTCAACCTCAGAGTTTCATATGCCCGGTTGGTTCTAAGCTTCCACGATAAACAATGGAAATCCGTAATTATTTTTACAAGTCTTCGCACTAAAGCTTTAATCGAATTTATATTAAATATTTTAACCGGAAGAATTTTCAGCTTGGCTAATATACCATAAAGGAACTTGATGACCGGTAATTGTTTGTTTCTGAAAATAGAATAATCAGAGGAAATACAGTTATAAATAGAAAGAAAAACTTGTTTTTGTTTTTTTTTTTTTAATTTCGTTCCAATTAAGTTCAGTCACGACATGAGTTGGTTAATTTATTGTGGGAATGATTTATACGATGAAAAGTTTAATGACCAATATTGCATTAAGTGAGAAACAAATTAGCATTAAGTGAGAAAATTCAGAAAAAAAATCAGAAATGTGCATACATTTCGCAAAGAGTAATCTAAGGTGATCATTTTTATTTTAATTTTTTTTACTATTAAAAAAAAATTAAAAAAGTGCTTTAAGTATATCAGAATAACACAATGCTCAGGTATGCCTAGCGACGGTGGCTGTAAAACAAGATTTTGATTTCTTTCCAAATCTCGCCATAAAGGAGTCTAACTTGACATAAAACAAAATGGTTCGAATCACAAGCGGCGTTTCCTCACTGTTACTAATGGGTCAGAAATACATGAACACGTAGGAATAGGGATTTAATGGTGCTAACACCAGAATGTATACACAGTATCCTACTACTTGCGTAGAAGCAATTACAATTAGCTTGTTACGACACCTGGAAAACTTTGAGGATGAGATATTAAAGTATAGTACTCTAAGAGCATCATTCATACTAAATTTCAAGTAAATTCGAAAAATATTACCGGAGTTATCGAGATTTGAATACCGCGCGTTTGGTACGGTCGCTTTTATCTTAAAAACTTAAAACGCGAGATTATCTAAACTTTATTTTTCCGTGCAGTAGGTACAATTTCTCTAAAACTAATCGATCTATTTTATAGTATTGTTTCGTGATTGAATGAAGGCATTGAAAAAAAAAAGTTTAAAAATTTTATATAACTTTGAATGAATTTTCGTCTCATATTTTTTTGCAAGCTAATCCAGAAGAACATGGAGATAATTATAACAGGAGACCTTAACGGCAGAACCGGAAGGAAAGAAAAATATAAAGTAGTGGGAAGGTTTGGAGAGGATGAACAAAACGATATCGGAGAACGTCTGATTGAATTATGCTAACTAAACAACCCAAAAATCACCAACAGATTCTGCAGACATAAAAATATTCATAAATATACACGGACGCAAGAAACACGAAAGCTGAAATCGATAATAGACTACGTAATAGTCAAACAATATACCACAATACAGATAAAAGATGTGAAAGTCAGAAGAGCAGCATAATGTGGAACTGACTAAAAACTACTGACGCCAAAAATGGGCAATAATTGCAAACATAACAAGACCCCCTCTACAAAAGACCGTTGAACACTATAAGAGAAAAACAATACAATATAGAACTACTCCAAGAACAATCAATAAGAGAGCTATACAAACAACGTCTAGACCAAACATTAATAGAATTCAGATACGGCAACATCGAAGAAATATACGAGCATATAAAGGCGAGTATAAAACAAGCAGCATTCGAAGCCCTGGGAAAGAAAGAACATATAACAAATAAACAGCACTATTATGAAATAAATGAAAAAACAAAAAGAATAATTGAAGAAAAAAAGCAACTATACAGAAAATGGCTGACTACAAACAACGATGAAGTTTATAAAGAATATAGAGAAAAAGATAGAGAAGTGAAAAAACAAATAACACAACAAAAGAACGAAGAATGGGAAAGAACCTGCATAAATATTGAAACATACATAGGAGGTACAAGAACTTCAGAGTCTTGGAAAGTACTGTGAGGATTGAAACAAAGCTCAAAAGAAAACATTAAATTGTGAAATATACAAGACAAAGAATGGAAGGATTATTATTACAAGGAACTGCTAACAAAGAAAAGACCACAATTCTTTGGTAAAGAAAACAGATGAAGACGAAGCAGATCCCCACAACAAGAAATAGAAATAACACATAGGGAAAACAGCTCCCAAAGGAATGGACAGAGGTATATATGACATCTATATTTAAGAAAGGAGATAGAAAACGATGCGAAACTACAGAGGAATAAGCGTAATATCATCAATAGGAAGATTATATGGGAAGATACTACGAGAAAAGATAGAGCAAGCGATAAAAGGCAAAATCGAAGAGGATCAGGCAGGCTTCACGGCAGGAAGATCATGCATAGACCACATATACACACTGGAGCAACTGTTGGAAAAGAAAAAAGCAAAAAATAGAGATATACATTTGGCATTTGTGGACCTGAGAAAGGCGTATGACTCTGTACCAAGGTCAGAACTATGGAAGGCAATGTACAAATTAGAAATACAGACGGAACTCATAAAAGCTACAAAAGGTCTGTCTAAAGTGTCCATTAAAATGGGAACAAGAACCATATGAGACTTCACAACAACAAAAGGACTCCTGCAGGGTTGTTCCACATCGCCAACTCTATTCAAAATATACTTAGAAGAAACCTTGACTACATGGAAAAGAAAATGCGAAGGCATGTGGGTACCGGTACGAAACGAATACCTATATACGTTAAGAAAAGAACGCACCTTTCAATTGCCATCTTCACAGATAACCAGGCAGCGCTTAAGGCACTTAATTATGTAGAGGTCAATTTTAAGCTATTATGGGATTGTGTGGGTGCCCTAAATAAACTAGGAAGCCGTAGCAAGGTTACAGTAGCGTGGGTACCATGGTACGATGGTCATAAGGGCAATGAATAGGCGGATGAAATAGCCAAGCAAGGCTTAATGCTATTCATTGGACCGGAACAAGGCAGTAACAAGAACAGCTACTGTAAGTTAACAGTGCACTGTAAGCTGATAGGCAGTTGAAGCTGATGGGATTGGCAGATGACGATCTATGCAGATTTTGTCACCTAGAGGAAGAAGCAGCAGAGCACATTTTGTGTCAGTGTGAGAGCCTGGAAAATGTGCGATTCTTTACATTAGGTGAAGAAAAGCAACCGGCAGAGAGATATGATATAGAATATTCTTAACAACTTGCAAATGATATTACGAAAGAAAAATAACTAATAAAGAAAAAATAACTTACCTCTAGGATCTCTAACTGTATCAGCTGATCCTAAGTTTCCAGCTACTTGAGAAAAACGCACAGCTATGGGAGTTTTCTTACCTACGGATTCGAACACCTTGGATACTGTTAGATCCGTAATGGCATCAGTACACTAAAATAAATAATATCAATAAATATGTACATAAAAGTCTGTTAAATCAACATTAATGTAATGTGAAATGTAATCGTTCATGCATTCAACAAATGCGAGTAACGGTACGTAAGTTGAAAGGTGACAACACCGCTGTAGAAACGTCAGTTGTGTCATCAGTATCGTGAAGTTGTCTATACAAGCATAATATGTTGTCAATTCTTCATGCATTGCTTACAGTTTCTTAAAATATTTATCTCGACCAGGAGCTATACATAATTAAATCATTTGGTGACTTTTTATGCTTTTTCGACACTTCTAATGGGTGCACAGATATGGGAAGATTTTTCGCCATGGATTAAGATAACTGGTACCGATCAACTCGCTGTGATTTCTGTTATTAAATCACCATTTGACTCAATAGTATATGATGATGTTTCGAATTAATCATTTGCTCTGGTTTGCTCCGTACAAATTCTGATCAAAAAATGCTAAATTTGATGATGCGCGAGAAAATATCTATGGTTTGGGTGAGCTATAATTGCAAGATTAACACATAATTGCTCATTCGTTTAAAAAACTTGTACAACATTATGAAAGGTGATTAATCTAAACTAAAAAGCAATCGTTTGTGTTCATCTTTTCAAGATTAGCTAAATCGAATAATACAATTCTATAGCTTTTACTTATACTCAAAATTAAGTTATCCATTTAGTTTGGTGAGTTACATCCCATAGGTGTCTGGCTTATAACGCGCCTGTGAAGCATATCCCATGCCTGCTCGATTGGGTTCAGGTCCGGAGAGTATGTTGGTGAAGGAAGAACAATATTCTTTTCAGTTAGATAATTCCTGTTTAAGTCAATGAGGACGAGGATTATGGTGTTTTAAAAGAAATTTTTGCAGATTTTTGTGCTTCCCTTTTGCCATTTAAATCACCTTATTCAGCAATATCCTCTTAATGGTACTTAAAAGGACACATCATACACATTCTTGATAGTGTTTTCCCTTATAGTTATAGATACCAAAATCTTGTAAGGCCTTCACCAATAAGAAATACTAATAACTAAGAAATGTTTACAGAGCATTTCGAGTTGATTGATGGAGATTTTATAAAGTCTAGCAATCTTTAATGAGATTATAATTATATGGTAACAATGTCTTCTTTTTATACGCCATATTTAGAGTGAGATGTATTTATATCTGTCCAATCTTGTACATTTCAATCGTTTTGCGTTTTTTTCACCAGATCTTTAGCATTTTTCGGAATATTACATTTCGAAGGCTTCCAGTCGTCTTTCGACTGGAATAGTATTTCCTCCTAGAATCCATGTTCCAACATAATATATAGTAATATGGAATATATATAGTAGAATATATAAGTTTTTACGAGCCTCTTTATCTGGTATTAAGCAGACAGAGAGAACTTTTTTCATTCATTAAAAGTTTGATGTAGCATTTTCCATTAACGCCCGTTGTTAAACCATAGGATTAATAGCGAATGTTTTCAGGGTATTTAAACCAGAATACAAACTTTGTTGAAGGTGATAAAGATCTTGGTCAGAAATATTGGTCTATCAAAGATTATGAAGCTGATGTAAAGATGGATTTGAACACGGTTATAGATGTTTGCTCAAATAAGTCACATACTGCATCCCTCTAAATGATAGAGTAGCGATGTTGAAATTACAAAAAACTCACAGAAAACTCAATATTATTCAGGTCTATGCTCCAACAAGTGACAAGTCAGACGAAGAAATCGAAAAATTGTTTAACAACATAGATGAAATAATGCGACTGACAAAAAGAGGAAGAAGTGAGATAACCATGATCATGGTTGACTTTAACGCTAAAATTGGTCGTGGTGCTCAAGGAGACCACATAGGAGGATACGGTCTAGGTACCAGGAATAATAGAGGAGATAGATTTGTACAATTCTGCGTAGAATAGAATAGCCAATATGTTCTTCAAACAACATCCTAGATGGCTATACATGTGGAAATCACCTGCAGACAGAAAAGATAATTATTAGAAATCAAATTGACTTCATTTTGCTCAATAACACCTTTAAGAAGTACTTACAATCTACAAAAACATACCCTGGAGCTGATATACATAACGATCACAATCCAGTTATAATGGATTGTAGATTAAAAAGATTTCTCAAAGTCAAAAAGAACGCAGTGACAAGAAAAATGGATATCTCACAACTGAAGAACCCTAAACAGAAAAAAGCAATAAGTATCAAGCTTGAGGAAGAAATAAAAATGATCGAAAACTTGGTACAGACAGACATTAAAGTAACATGGACTGCTCTAAAAACAAAAATAACGAAGATACAAGAAGAAGACATCGGGTTCATAAAATACAACAAAAAACAGGAATGGATAACGCAAGAGATCATGAACCTTATGGACGTAAGACGAAAACATCAAATAAGCCCAATAGAATACAAGCGAATCAATAAAATCAATTAACATTTAACATTTTACAATAACAAATAACATTTTTTACAAGATCAGACCTTAGTCTGCAGCTTAGAATCCGAATGATCAGATGTTACGTTTTTTCTGTCTTACTGTATGGCTGTGAAAGTTGGACAATGGACTCTGAAATAGAAAAAAGAATAGATGCCTTTGAGATGTATACACACAGACGAATGTTGAGAATTCTATGGGTACAAAGAGTTACTAATGTTGAGGTACTTCGTCGCATGTGTAAACAAAAAGAATTACTAAGAATAATCAACGAGAGAAAAATGCAATACTTGAGTCATGTGTTGAGAGGCGAAAGATATGAATTACTTGAAGTTATACTGGAAGGAAAAGTACAGGGCAATATATCAGTAGGAAGACGCCAGAACTCGTGGCTAAAAGACCTGAGGAGATGGTTCGACCTCTTATCCAAAACTACAATTGCCATTTGGATCGCCAACCTTAGAAAGGAGACGGTGCCATGAGAAGAAGATAGATGTTTGGAGAGCGTAACGTATGCCCCTAAATTTTCGGAAAATTTTAGATTTAAAAATATTATTGGTAGGAAGCATTAGATCAAGTTCCATTGAAAACCAAAGTTAGTAAACAACTTAAACGATATAAACAATGTCAGTTTTGACAAATACGGTTCGTTAAGATGTCGTACAAACTTAATATGCGTCGAAGTATTTATCGTTTAGTTGGACATGTACCAAAACGCGATGGTGTAAGAATTTTTAGTGCTCAAAATATTTCTGTGTCAACGATTTACAAGACACTTAATAAGAGTGCGAAAATAGTATACCATGAGGTAATTTGCCCAAAAGTGAAAGACCAACAGTTTTAACTCCTGCTAGGAAACAGATATTGATTCAGTATGGAGTATGGAGAACCAATTAGGAAAGTCTTTGTGAAATGTTGGGCGAAGATATAATGTTTCATGAATGACTGTAAGTTGAACAATTTCTAGAAATAATTTAAAACGATATGAAAGAAAATAAGCTCCTAAGTATAAGTACATGTTAAAAAAAATTCCTAGATGTTGCTGTGCATTGAGACGTATTCATTTTTCTGGTAAAATTCCCATTATCGATGATAAAAAGTATTTGACTTTATCCAATTCCGAAATAAAGTTCAGATTTTAAAAATTGGAAGTAGTAATAATGTATAAAAACACGTTCAAAGAATTAAAAAAAAAACGAGAGTTTAACTATTAACAAATCACGTCTTTATAGAAAGATTAAAATACAATTTTATTTGCTTTAAAATTAATACAATTAAATATAGTTGAATTCAAGTTTATTTTTTAATAGGTATCAAAATAATGCTACAATAAAAAATCTTTATGTTTTCTCCTAAATTTGCTACCCAAATAGTTCGATCGTCAATATTATTTGGAAACCTACATAGAAAAATAAATGAGTTTTATTCATTTCATAATTTATTTGTATCCATGAGAAATATTAAATTAAAAAGGTACTAAACAGATCTTTTTTAATCAGATGATGTCTACTTACAATTTAAAAATGTCATGTCATGTATGTCCTAATTTCATGAACTCATATCTTATTCAATACATTAATGAACATGAATAAACCCAATGGTACGCCTATGTAAACTGTAAAATGTAAACAAACACGCTTCCCCATTTCCTCATCTTAAATAATGTAAATTGTATGTACTTACAACTGGAATGAGAGATCGGGATGTAAATATTTCGTTTATTTTATTTCACTTTTCTCAAATATCACCCAAAATACAGCCAAAATATCGAAAAACACCTTATCCTCATTTACTGTAAAAAGTAAACAAACATGGAACAGCATTTGAAGTTTGACGTAGATCCATAAGACAGAGAAATGTAAACAACCGTTGCCATTATAAATAGTTTTCAGTGCTTCTACATATAAAATAATTGATTGATATCTATTATACGCTATTATTAAATGATAATGCACACTATTTGTACACTTGATATTTTGATTACAATTAAATATATTAATCTAACCAATAAATTATTATTTTGGTTTGATAGCACCTGTAGAGTATAAAATACGGAGTAATAATTTCAGCGACTCGCGAATAAGAAATTTTAAAACAAAACGTGACAACAGTTGAAGGTGCTGAGAATGTGACCTATTCAAATAATTTTGACTACACAATTTTATGTAAATAACCGAGTCCATCTGTGTTTATACGTCCATGTAAAAAACATACCCCTTTTCATACGTTTATATTCATAATTAATAGAGCAAGTTCAATAGTTTTAATATTTAGCCTCAGGGACAAAAATTTCGCACATATTTAAAATACGGTAATTTCTCGATGTTAAAATGTATTAATAACATTTTATTTTGTTAATAAAAAAATTAATAAAATTTATAAATTAGTGCAAAACAACTACTTTTTTGCAAATATCTCGGTAAATTATTTATTAATTTTAATTCTCCGTATCTCCGTAAATTATTTATTAATTTTAATTTAAAAAACGGGAAAATAAAGATATGCTTGATATAAAAAAGTGATATAAATATTTTTATGTAAAATATAAGGCAAAAAACTTTTAGACAAAAAGTCAAATTGTGACCATAAATTATTATTAAAAAAAAAACGCAAAATATGAGTACTTTTTCATTTATTGGTCATCTAGTAACCCCCACCTATGTTTAAAAGCTTCAGATATCTACGAAAAATTTTTCGATTTTTTTTTTAATCAGACTGGGCTACTTGTTAGATATCGTCGAATTGCATTATATCCACAGGCGTGTTATTTAAAAGCATTAGGAAACTTAAAACATGTTAGTTCTCGTTTAATTTACTGTTGATCCTTCGATACTCCACTGTGTGTATGTTAAATTTTTTGTTTCAATTTTTTGAAGCGATTTAATTTGAAAAGATTAAATATTTTTATGTAAAAAAGACAGTTTAAATACCTCAAAATATCCAAATGCACCAGCTCCTTTCGCGTGCACAACCCTTTCGGGAACTCTCTCCCTGTTGAAATTTTGCATTTGCTGGAGCATTTGATAATCTCTTAAGACGATTGGCCCATATTTTCCCGCTGTTAAGCTGACGTCTTTGTTAACCAAATCGATTGCAGCGGCATCAGTAGAGTAGCCTAGAGATTTCTAAAAATAATAAATGGATTAAAATTCGTTTTGTAGCTTGTTCAGAGTTTCATTATTTCTTATAAAACAAGACCAAAAATTTCTTGACAATTTATATACAGGATGCCAGATCCTATATATAATGTTATGTTGATTTTAATGATATTGATATGATATTGAATATTGCATTGTTGCCACATATTTTGGTTTAAATTTTAAATGTGCTTCACTTCTTATTACAAAAGTATAAAGGTATAATTTATAGATGTATTTAAAATCTGTACCACCAATTTACTATAAATCGTAACAAGTTCAACTCTGTATAATTAAAAAGGGTGCAAGGGCAATATACCAATATTTTTTTATGATTGTCAAAATTTATCGAAGATTAGGTCTATCCGCCCTAATAGACCAGGGAAATAACCAAAAAAAGAACAACCTGCAGTCGATTTTTTGGACTTAATTAGTTATTAACAAATTTAGGTCAAAAACGGTAATTTTTCTCTATTTTCGTCTATCAGCAAAAAGTAAAGCATTTGAAGCAAATTTGAGAGAAAGAAACTTATAAGTCATATAAAAACCTTCAAAATGGCGTTTTCAAAATGTTTTTATCCTTATTTGTTGCTTAGAAAATTTCAAAATGAGTCAAAAATTTTGGTTTTTTATAAATATTATTTAATTTTTTAAAAATAAACTTATAACCATTATAATATTACATACAGTGTTGGGTCTTGTGGTCCTTAAAATATGATCAAAATTTCAAGTCAATCACTCAAATATGTAGTTCAAAAGTTATTCAATTTGGTTATCCCAAATTAAATTTTTTTGCGACAATATAAGTCAGAAAATTATACAGTTCTATTAATTATACAAATAAGTTCTGAAAGAAGAAAATTTATTCTATTATTATTATTATGAAAAAAAGGACTAAAAATCATTTTAAATATTGCAAAATAATTTGGCAAAAACGTGTCGATTTTTTTGCTTATGAACAATTGGAATAATTTTTTAACCATCGACTGCAAAAAACTGATTTTTTCATATTTAGGCAGTCTGCATTTTTACAAATTTAAAAGAAAAAAAGTTAACCTAGGACACGGAAGTGACCTAGGTTAACCTTTTAATGAAGAGTTTTAGTTTTAATGTGAAAGAAGTTTTAATGTGAAAAATTCGAAAATGATTGCATTTTAATGGAATCGTTCACAAAGCTTCAAAAATGTGCCTCAAAAAAGCCTCAAAATTGGTCGGCTTTGAAACTAGTGAGAGCGATGGAAGGGGAAGGAGCTGTTAACTGTATCTCTGTTTCTTGTTTATGGATTTCGACGTTTCTTTTTTTATTTGTATGTACTTTGTGCGTACATTACGAATATGTATTATTTAAATAATTAGATTGTTAAATAAACCGTCTACTTTGTTTAAACAATTTTTTTCAGTTTTTATTTCTTTTTGAGGAATATTTAAGGTAATTTTTAGTGTAAAAAATAAATATTTATGATTAATATAAACTTCTTCAATATACCCTGTAGATAAACTACTTTTTTCTATTATTTTATTATTTCTAATCTCCACAAGGAAAATAATTCCCGCAGCTGGCTGTATACCACAAATCACAAAAAGGAAGTTAGATATTTGTAAATGGGTATATTTAAAAAACCCTTAAAAGGGCTACATCAAATTACAAGAACGTTTTCGGAATAATAATTCCATCATCAGGTTTAAAAATGCAAGTTAACTTGCCTGAGCCACCAAAATATCAGGGTAAAAACCCTTTAAAATACATAAGGTTACAAAAGATTGTACATAATGTTGTTATTAATATTTGATGTTTAATATTAAACTAACGGACTATAGCTGGTAGCTCAGTTCGTGTAATCGTGTAATTTGATGTAGCCCTTTTAAGGGTTTTTTTAAATATACCCATTTACAATGATCTAACGTCCTTTTTATTTCTAATTTCTTCTGTAATATAATTTATTGATATTGAGCTCTCAAATTTCAATTTAATATAAGTTTATTAAAGAAATTTAAGATTAGTTGTGCATTTTACTTATAATTCACCACGAGTTTCAGTTTGATTAACGAAATTAGATATTTGTTAGACCTTCATTTGCTTTGATGAAGGTATAACTTTCGAAATAGAACTTCAATTTGTTTAAAATTGGAGCCACCTGATTCAAACGAAGCAATACATAAACTAACTTTTAATGAATATTTAAGTTTTGCACAGCTGCACCCGGAAATTTGAACCTGCATTTGGCTGTTTTAACTTTAAAACAATATTTACTGAAAATTGCTGTTCTAGAAACTGTTTGTGGTAATCAATCTAATAAAATATCCGGAACATACGTAATCTATTCAAAAATAAAAAAGTACAAGCAGTATCTGTGTAATATTAAAGAGGAGGATATACGAGTGAAAGGTGTCAATTCATAAAGATTTCAAATTTCTTGTGATATAGCCCGATTGGTTTTTTTTTTAATTATATACCTTTTATAAAGGATTTTAATAAATTTTTGTGATACATGGTTATACAGCCATCTACAGAAACTTAGTTTCCTTGTGGAATTTTTTTAAAAGATTAAGATTTACAAATATTTGAATAATGCTTTTGAAATATTTGTTAGTAATATTTTATTCATATTTTATTTATTTGACGCTATTTATTTGAAGCTATGCTAGAGCAGGGGAGGAAATGCACTGCAAATGCAGTCCAACCTCATGGTTAAAGAAGTTGCGAGATTGGTGTGGTGTTGATACATGCATGCTATTTAGGGTGGCAGTGAATAAAATTAAGATAGCTATGATTCTAACTAACGTTCTGAAAGGACATGGTTTATGAAGAAGATGAAGAAATAGAGGAAATAAGTATCCGGAATGGGAATAGACATAAGCAGTAGTAAATGTCGAACAACTTTATTTTTCGCAGATGATCAGGTAGTTGTAGCGAATGATAAGGCCGACATGGACTACTTGTTTAGAAAACTAAAGAAAGAATATGAAAAATGGGGCCTCAATATGAATATGTCAAAGACAGAGTATCTTAAAATAGGAGATGATGAAGAAGATCCAGAGTTAGAAATTAGAAACACAAAAACATGCAATGAATATAAATATCTCGGATCTATAAACTAAAGAAGGCACTACCAAAAGAGACATCGTAAACAGAACGCAGCAGGGAAAAAACGGTAAACATTGTAAACTCTCTACTATGGTCTAAATATATTAAACAAGAAACGATTGACAATCGATCGAACCTTGGTAGAGCCTACTTTATGGGGCACAAGTTTGGCAGATGACGAAAAAAGATAGAAAAAGAATAGAAGTAGTAGAAATGGATTTTCTAAGGAGAGCGTGTGGTGTATCCAAAAAAGATCGTATCAGGAATGAAGATATGAATGAGGACAAATAGTGTATATTCCAGTGTAGACAGAATTGAAACGAGACAACTAGTGTGGTATGGTTACGTGAAACGAATTCATGAAGATAGGGATAAGAAGGGAAGCCCTTTAGTTGCCTGGGAAGAAAATGTACGGCACATAATGAGAGATAGAACTATCAAAGAAGACGAATGGATGGACAGAAAACGATGTCGGTCGAAATGCGAGAAGCGGCAGAAGCTTTAGGAATCTCGCTTATATATACATATACAAGTTATGTACTCCTGTCAGGTCAGATAAATATTTAAAACTGTTGGCGTTGCCATGGCAATTTAAAAAACGCACGTTTTTGAAGTTGAATTTAAACACGCTACGGCGTAATTTAAATGAGCAAAATGAGGTACCAATAAATAAAAATAATTTTTTGAATATTTCAAAAACTAATTTATACTACTGAATTCGAATTCTGCAAAAATATTCACGATATTACATTTTTAAATTTCCAATATGGGTTGGCACTCTACTGGGTGGTAAGGTCCTATTTTCCACATGAGTTACTGGACTAGTATAACAACATTCAAGGTAAACATGTCAATATTCCACGAAAAGGCCTAGTTAATGGTTATAGCCAAGAGTCCCATCAGATGTAAACTAATGATTAACGAACACATAAGAGAACAAGAGAAATTAAGATGATGGAAGAAGTACGTTAGATAACTTTTCCAAGATGAAGGAGGTGAAATACAGAAAATATAAGAATTAAATCCTTTAGAGAGACAGAAGATCAGAAGATAGATGAAATCAAATATTCTATCAAAAACTCAATCAAAAAGATAATAAGGCAGCTGGATTAAATGAAATACCAGTAGAACTGTTAAAACTAGTGGAAGAGGATAACTTGGAAGTATTGGCAGATTTATTCAACACGGTGTACGATACGGGAATAATACCACAAGAGTGGCTGAAGTCAGCATTTATAACCATCTCTAAAACAAGCAGCGAAAGAGTGCTCTGATTATTATCGAACACTGAGCCTCATGAGTCATACTTTAAAAGTACTGCTGAAAGTAATACATACACAAAGTAATACAGAGAATATACGAAAGGCTAGAGGAGGATATTATCGAGACTCAGTTCGGGTTCGGAAATGGAATGGGTACTCGAGAAGGACTATTTGCATCAACATATCGATTCAGCCATGTCGGGATGTGAACGTTGATCTACACTTGTGCTTTGTTGACTACGAAAAAGCTTTCGATAAAGTAAGAAATGAAAAACTAATATCAATATTTATGAACAAGCACATTGCCACTAAAATTATAAATATAGTGCAAACATATTGGAACCAAAGTGCCATAGTTCAAATTGATGGGCAACACTCAGATGAAATGAAGATCTGTAGAGAAGTTAGAAAGGGATGTGTTTTATCGCCACTTTTGTTTAACTTATATTCTGAAGAAATTTTCCAAAACACGCTCAACAATGTCAAAGTGGGAGTTACCGTTAACGGAAATTTAATTTAGAACTTACGATATGCAGACGACACTGTGATCATAGCAACGAGTATAGAAGATCTACATATACATGCTAATTAGAAAAAGACCACAAAATGACATTGACAATCAATGGTAACGTGATAGAACAAGTAGAAAAATATCAGTACTTGGGAACTTTGATCAATGAAATCAATGATCATAGTGCATAAATAAACAGGCGAATAGAGATTGCCAGATCAGCATTTATACGAATGAAGCCACTCCTAACGTGCAAAAATCTAAATTTGGAGATCAGACTACGTAACATTCGCTGTTATAATTTTTTCAATATTATTATATGGAGCTGAGACTTAGACATTAAAAAATGCAATTTAAAAAGAATCGAGGCTTTCGAACTCTGGTTATACCGCAGAGTATTAAAAATATCATGGACTGATAGAATTACAAATAAAGAAGTACTGGAGAGGGTTGGTAACGAAACAGAACTAATCACCACTATACAAACCAGAAAACTGGAATACGTAGGCCACGTGATGAGGGGACGAAAATATGAAATTTTAAGACTCATACAGGGAACGATTCAAGGAAGAAGATCTGTTGGCCAAAGGCAGAACTCATGGTTGAAGAATCTAAGGTTTAGGACCAGTACTAACATACACATAGGAAAAAAGAGCTGAAATGTCGTTTACAAAACAATTGATAAGAACTAGAGAAATAAAAGTATTATGAACGCTAAGGGAATTTCCATTAGAGAAACTCGAGCCCAGGATATGCTGAGATGGACACAAGCATTACGCTGCAAATGGAGAGATCATGTTAACAAAATGGACAGAAGAAGAATTGCCAAATGGGTAAAAACACATAAACTTAATACAAAAAGAACACTAGGAAGACCCCCGAATAGGTGATATGACATATGGATATTAACATTACAAGAGCTGGGATATTAAAATAAACAGGACCATGTCCTACAAGGGAAAGAAAACGAAGATTTTTACTGCAAATGTAGAATAAGTGATAATTAAACAAGTAGCAATGAAAATTGTTGCAATAAAATGAGGTAATAAATAAATAGTTGAAAAAAAATTATTACTTAAGTACCTTATTCTTTTTAGACCATTCGGTTAGTTCTTCGGCGGCTTCATCTCGATTAGACACCTGTTTGTCAGTAGTTCTCGAAGCCATTTTCTTTAAAAATGTTTCTCAAATTATAACGTTTATTGTTAAAAGTATGACAATAAATGCTCTTGAAATGGTTGGGACAGTATTTATATACACGGGAGTAGATTGTGCAAATAGTATCGTAAACACCATAGTTGAAACTATATGTGTGAATCATGTTTTTGTTTTCTAACAATTCTTATCGTTGACATTCGTAAGGGGCCTAAAGACCACAACGTTTCAAGGACAATGAGCGGCTTTTACCTGACCTAGATATCAATAGAGTGTAATCAATATCAGTATAGTTTTTATTAAATTTGGTAATATGGTTTGATAGTATTATATAAGATAGTAAACATCAGGTCTTAACTAAGAATTACGTACCAGCCAAAAAATAGGTAAATAAATATTAAACTCTTAGAGCCAACCATGAAAGAAATGTAACATTAGTTGGCAATCGTAGATCTGACAAATAAATATTGGAAAATAAAGAATGGCCACCACATGCAAAGACTTTACTAAAAACCAAAATCTTTCTATTTCGTCTTCTTCTTTACTTCAAGGATTAGGCTTCAATCCTGTTTCGTTATAAGCCTTGCCATCTTCTTCGGGGCCGCCCTACGTCTCTTTTTCCTACCCGTTTATATTTTACTACCTGTCCATATACATTGGTACATTCTTTTAATATGTTCCATATTTTATTTACATTTATCGTATCTGGACCGGTTCTCTAAGTACACCGCAAAGATCTACATATGTTCAAATGATAAATACCAACCAACAAAAGATTCCAATGATCACTCAGACAAATGAAGCGATGTTAAGTTAAATGTATTTTTGGTCACTGTCTTGACGAATTGTGTGTATCTCATGTTGTCAGAGAATCATCTTTATTTCCACCATATAAAGGGTTCTCCAACGACAGTGAGCAAAGAAGGCTCGGCTTTATTACTGAGAAATATCACTGTTCTGCTAGTTAACTCAGGATGTTTCTGTAAAATTTTGATGAAGTTAAGTTTGCCGATCTTGTAAGCTGCTGATGTTCTGAAAAAGCATGGAAAAACAGCAAATTCTTTGCAATGACGTTGCCATATATAAAACTTGAAGAGCAGTATAATTGATGCGAGCCTTATGTACAGCCTTATGTACGTATAGCCTTATGTACGAATATGACGAACCCAAGTGACGAAATATTCTATTGTAAAGTCTTTATTAATTCTAATTTATTGTTCTTATTTTAATTTACTAAAGGTTCAAGATTTATAACAATTACAAATTTAATTTATTTAAAGTTTATTTATATTAACTAATCTTACAATAATTTATATATCCGAGCGTTACATTTAAAATACCCGATCGCGATATCTTCTTTTGACTAACTGATCTCCTCAATAAAAATCCCCGTTGTTATATATAAAATGCCGTTATCTAGAAGGGTCTGGCGAAGAATCGATGACCTTCCATCCATTAGGTGACTTATGGACTGGTCTCAAAGTGTCTAGTAATGTCTGCCGTCAGGTAAACAGGTCAAGCGCCGAAATTACTAGAAATAGAAAAAATAATTAGTCATAATATATTTACAGTTTTATACGCCATAATATTTATTATCGTAACACTATACTTTAAGTATTTCGTCACTTGGGCTTGTCATATTTTTTGTTTGTATTTTTCCATCTACATACTATGTAATAGGGTTATTTTTGAGATGACTAAGAAGTGATTCGAGGTAATGTCGTTCCCTCTGTGAAATCTCACGTCTTGCACTAGGGAGCTCAGTTTTCATTTGAAATGTCATAGTCTATTATAGAGCTGAGGCCTCTTGCATACTGTTTATATTTTAATTTTTTTTTTCTATAAAAGCCATTGAGATTTTTTAGATACTTTTATATGTTGCGAATTGTCTCAATTCATGTCCGTTATTGTTTATTGTATTTTCTCTATCTCTATGTCTGGTATTGCTATCTTTTCTATTCTAACAATGAAACCTCCGCTTACTACAAAGTAGTAGTGTTGCCCAAATCCAAGGACAAGACGGGATTTAGAGAGTCTTTGTCTTGGTCTTGCGCCAATACACCTGGTCTTAGTTTTGGTATTGCACTCCCGGTCTTGGTCTTGGTCTTGCAGCAAGAGTCTTGCAGTTACCCATTAGCCTATTCCTATTTATTAAACATTACTTTAGATCTTAGAACAACTTAACAGAGCAAGTACATTTTAAGCTTGAATTAACATAGGCATAATAAAGACCAACCAAATTAATTAATGTCTAAACAACTGACACCGGGTAGGGTTTGAAGTCACGATCTAAGCGATCCGTGCTTATGCTTTAACTAACTCAGCTATCTACTATGTCCCACGAAAGTCAATATGTTTCTTAATAATCGTTTGCATTTATTAAGCTTACATGGGTTGAAACATGGTTAAAACACAAAAAAAAAAACAAATTAATGACATAAACTGGACTGAATTTTAAAGAACATTATCTACCTAGAAAGGGATTGATGGACCCCCACCATATATGAAATGGAAATCTTAAAAAATATTGGTATGTGGCAAAAAATCCACAAACATGTATCAAGGGCACAGATTCTTTAGGTAATAAGATAACAAACTATAATCCACTTATTAAAGCAACATAAATGTTGTTAACAATCTTAGCTCTACTTTTACATAAAAAATTACCTTGAAAAAATAAAGAATAGGTAAAAAAGCAATGATAAATCAAATGAAATTAGGAGATATCTACTTAATAAATACATTAATTTACCAAAATAAAGTAGGAGGTACATAATATGTAATTGGTAATAAGTTATAAGTATATTTTTTACATGTCCACTTTTTCCAGCGGTTATTAAAAAGCTTGTGGTATCTCCACCGAATTTTAGTTTTTTAGGAAGAAATATTTGTAAATCCTTTTTGTAAAAAGATATTAGATGCTTTATTAAACCTGAAAGTCTTACTGTTTTTAATTTTCATTTCAACCTTTCTACATAGGCACAATTTACACAAAGCAATTTTGGATGCATGAATTATTTCAACAAGACGCAAGAGTCTTGCAGGCTTAGTCTCGTTCTTCTTAAATTTTGCACGGGTAAAATTTTGTTTTTTGTGTTTTGTTTTTAAATTCTTTTTTGTTTAGTAATAAAAAAGTAGAAAATTTATTCACCATTTATAGATTCCTGAAAAAATGTAACAAATATATGGAAAATTAAATCAAAATGTGATATTTTACTGGTTTCATATATAAACTACATAGAAATAATATAATTATAAATTTTACTTTTATTTTGAATTTCTGATCTTTTGTTTAAATTATTATCACTTTTGCTAATACAAACCATTTCCAAAAAAGTCCTTTTGAATTTATTACTTTCACTACACAAAATTTTATTATTACCAAAATTCATAATATGGTCTTTGTCGATTACGTGCTCTGCCAAAGCCCAAGATGGTTTTTTAATTCTTTTTAATTTTAATCACTTTTGTGAGAAATAAAGCGATTTGACAGATTTCTTCCGGTCTCACCAACATACTCAGCTTAACACTCAGTACAACTAATGCTGTATACTACAATTGTTTTATCTAATTTGTGTATAGGATAGTTAGTTTTGGAATATAAAGATGAAATGGTTTTGATGTTCTTTGTTGCTATTTTTATATTGTCTTTAGTGTTTGTATTAATTTAGGTGTTAATGATGGTAGAAGATGGTAGAAGATGTTCTTGAAGATAATCTGGATGAGAAAGCTTTAAAACACGTTCTTTTAATCCTGTTATAATATTCATTTTTCAAATTCAAATCATTTTCAGAAGGTTTCAGAAGAATCATTTCAAATCATCAGAAGATTCAAATCTTCTTCTTTTTTGTTACTAAACAAAAAATAATTTATAAACAAAATTTTATTTTTGGCAATATGCTTGTCAAAAATAAAAATTTTAAGTTGGTGTTTATGACATTGAGATTGTTATTGGTCACTATTCAAATTTATTTATAAATTCAATTGTTTTTGTGTTAAGAAACTTTTTCAAAATTATATTAAAATTTCAGAGAAGCAATTATTAGATTACAACATTTTTATAAGAATATTTTTTGAAATATGTTAGCAGCATTTTTATTAACTAATTTTATTTGGTGAGTTAACAAACATTTTTTTTCTTTCCAGTTCAACTTTGTCAGATATTTTGTATTTTTTACCACCTCTTGACAATGATTGTAAACACAATTGAAAGCTCGAGTAAAAAATAGTTAACAAAGAGCCCCTTTTATTGACTCCAACCTATCCAAAACAGTTATATATATATATATATATATATATATATATATATATATATATATATAAATTATTAATATAATAAACTTTTCATGAATTGTTTTTTATTTAATTTATTTATCTTTTGTTTTAGGTAATTATTCCCACCGTACGTATACACATGATTAACCAAAAAGAAGTAAACACCGATTGGTAAGTCGTAGTTTATGTATTGTTTTGATTCTTTAAGGTCAGCTTGCGTTTTCTGTAAAATAATTACTTAACGGTAAACAATACTTATTTGTTTAACACTATCTTAAAATTACTATAACATTTGAAGATAAGATAAAATAATTATATTAGAACTATAATCTAGTTCTCGAAACAAAACACTCTTCGGAAAAGTAAATTAGTGAACTCGTTTTATGTTACTTGAAGTAACCTTATTCCAGAATGCATGACAAGTTAAATCGATAATCCATTTATTTATAAAACATGGAAATATTTGAGAGATTAGGTAAAAATGAAGAAATTCGTAAAAACAAAAAAAGAGAATAGATTAGTCCAATTAAATTTCATACTCCATTGAAATGACCTGCTTATTATGTAATTAACAAAATCTTGGTGCCAGTCGATAACGAGAAAACTTACATTTTATCATTCGGGAACATGATGCTCATGCCCGTAAACTACTCCAGGAGTTAGTAAAATTTCTGGAATACGCCCATAATGTTGAATTTTATGTACAATCAAACCTAACTAGAACACCAAACCATCAACACAGCCGGTTTTTTGGGTTTCCCGACCTGAATGCACAAATATCT